AAAAACGCCACTTTAAATAAAAACTAGGCTTCAAACCCATTTATTTATTATTTATTTCATGGTAGGAGAGCTTCTCAAACAATATCGAAGCAATTTTTTCGATTCAAGTTGTTGAAAAGTAATGAATATCTAAATCCCGGGACTAATCCCGGGGTCGGAAAAAGCCGAAAAATTAACATCCCTACATCAGATGCGTAATCAGCGACCCCAGAAATCCCCTGGTAATTAGTTTGAACCCATGACATTGCTTTAGCTGCACTATAACATGTCACGAAAATAAAAAAATTTAAAACATCAGCGTTTTTATAAAAAAAACATTAGCGCCACCTCCAAAAATTTTTTTGTTCAAAATAAAAATATAGGTTTAATTCTTTTTATCGAGTCCAATATGCTCCCTGAAGTCGAACCCATTACAATAATGGGATGAGCTAAAAACTGCGTTTCCTTTGTTGTATAAACAAGCACGATCATATTCCCATATAATTGCAACATTTGTTCCTTGTGAACGATTCTTTTCGAAAGCAGGAGCAACAATAACCATGTCAAGAAATCGGTTGACTGGTAAACATTTGGAAAAACTTAAATACGATTAATTAAACATATAGTTCTGCTATGCAACGGAGTTTTATTTATTTTCAGTTCCTACATTATTAAATTTTATTATTCGGAGTTTAGGATTTCCAGAGGAATACACAATGAGTACCGATACGAGGAGGTAGCGATACGTCCGATATTTTTCAGGCATCGATACTTTTTTTCGATACTACTTCCAAGTAAAAGTATCGATATCTGCATGGTATCGTTTCATCCCTACTCTCATCATTAACATTAGTATTTTGGCGCCTACACTTTTGATAAGTGTTCTGCCGAGCTTCTCAAATTTGAGGTGTGCGTCTTGCTGTTGTTACACAAATGGAGGGATCTACAGTTTTACGCCGGCTTTGAACGGCAAGTGGAGCTTTTTCATGGCAGAAATACATTCCTGCCCAGGGGTGACCACTGTTAGAAAAACTTTCTAATTTAGATACAGTTAGTACCTCTAACCACTCAGCCACAGCGGCTGTCCCCATATCAAACATAATTTTAGCTTAATGAAATCTAACTGGATATTAGCCGAAACTTTACGTCAAAATATGTACAGTGGCGGTCAAAAGTGGATGAATGGTGTTTCGTTTTTAATATTTACAATGTTCTTCCGGTAAAACTTTTTTTGATATTTTTTTTATAAAAATATGTTTCATGCTTTAACAAAAACCATTTATGTAAATCACACTTCCACACTTTATACAGAATTCAGAAAAATTCAACACGTTTTTATCTAAATTTGGAACTTTTTAATCAGAATTTTTTTAGGTTTTTTGGGTATGCAGTTAACAGGCTTATAAAATTTTAGTAAAATAAGTGCAAAAATTGACAAGTAAATAGTTTGGGATGAGTCTGCCTAAAACTATACAATAGATGATCTATTTTATGTATGGAATTAACAATAAAAACCACGCTGTCAAGTTTAAACAGCGGCGAATCAGCTGCACTTGATGGTAGTAGGTTGAATAAAGGAAATGGATTAGCAACAAGAGTTTACGGTGGTGTGCATTGCTCAGTGGTTAGCGCTTCTGTCTTTGCACATCGATGATGCGGGTTCGATCCCTGCTGAAGTCCGAAATAGCTGCTATAACTTCTACCGCTTAGACTTTGTTGTTTTTCCATTTTTCCTAACAAACAAATCGTGCTACAAAGCTCAATAACACTTGAAAAAAAAAATAAGTTTTAATATTTTTTTTTTTGCTGACGGCTTTTCCGTTTTTTTTTTTCATATAAATAGCGAATTAAGGAAAACTGGAGTTGACTTTTTTATTTTTTTCGCAAGCGGTCTTGCGCATTTTCTTCCACAATAAATTCATGTTTATATGGAAAAACGTATCAAAAATCTATGCGATTCTTTAGCCGCGCAAAACTTGCACTTATTTTACTAAAATTTTATAAGTCTGTTAACTGCATACCTAAAAAATTTATGAAAATTCTGGTTAAAAAGCTCGAAATTTAGATCAGTTTGGGGAATTTTTGAAATTCTGTATAAAGTTTGAAATTGTGATTTATATCGTTTTTGTTAAAGCATAAACCATATTTTTATAAAAAATTATAACCAAAAGTTAGCTTGAAAAACATTTTAATATTAAGAAGAGACACGAAATTTCAAGAACGAAAACGTCCAAAACAAAATCTGGCACTTGCGTTTACTCAAACATTAACTTTTGATGGTGTATTTTACCACCCGGAATCTCTTTTCAAATCGCAATTAGTTTTGATTGAATAAACGAAAAATGTCCATGCACGGTAACCTTTCATATTGTACACCATAAAAACTATAACTATAACCAGTGGCATGAGACATTAAAGCCTAAAAATTGAAATTACTTTTTCCCCAAACCATATTTTACGAAATAGGATACCCAAATACCATCCCAGGCTAGGGGTAGACCAAAATATCGACAGGTGTTTGAAATTCACGGTTAATTATGTACATACATAACTTTGAGCTTCGCTATATAAAGTCTTACCCTAAATGAGTATTCACACGATTGTGTGCTGTAATCAATGCAAAATATTTGCTTACAATACGATTGGCTTCTCCCAGGAACTGAACAATCAATTCATCTTCAGGCTCATCAGCATAATAATAACCTTCATCATTTTGAGAGTTGTTGTCGCCAACACCAATACCAGCAGCACCACTATTGCTTTCCGCGTGTGTCGATGAACTGCGTCTCAATACTTGGTTGGCCTCAGCATCTACATCAACTATTCGTCGTGGTGTAATAGTACAATATGAGTCAACTTCACCTACTATTAAATTCGCCTCCTCCGTGCTCCGCAAATCTAAGTTAGTCGGTGTGCCTTCATGCTTATCACTTGCAGCGGTTGTCGCATTATCAGTAGCCGCAATTGGCTTACAATCACTGTCGACGCTGGCAGCAACGGTCGACACTGTTGCGACATCATGAGAATGTGTATCGTCTACAATATCAATAAAATAAGTTGTACCGGTATTCTTTGTTTCCTCTCCTTCTCTCTTCTCCTTCTCAGTTACGTGTACGACTGATATTAGTTCATTGCAATTTTTTTGACAGTTCTCTTTTTTTTCACCGACGTTAGCGTCGACTTCGGCGTCGACGCTGTCATTTTCGTCGCTAGCATT